TAAGGTAAAATAAACCAGCAGACCAACTTGAGCATAGATAGAGAGGTATTGCTAGCATAGGCTCTGATTTCTTATATTTCTGGCCACTGCTTCTTTATGTCAGAGCTTGTGGTATTCGACCATAGTTTTTATTTGATATTTTATGAAATTCTGCCCTCTATGATTAGTTAATTGTGGTGTACATTGTCTATTCATTCAATTAGGTCAATTTCTTAGAAAGCATATATTATTTCTTATTTGTAGCCCACTAAGGGTAGCAAGCATGGACTATATCTAACAGAAATAAATCCATTAGAGGCCAGGAATTATTATTTGAGAAAAATGTGTAAAGAGAAGTCAATCAAAATGCAAAATGAACTTCTGTTGCTTTAAGCTATTTGTTTACTCCAAGGTGTGGGTGAGTCTGACTTCTGGTCAGGTCCATGGCCTGGTTCTGTTCTCCAGCATACCCATAAAATATAACCATGAAGGAAAAGTCACAAACTTAGAACAACTCTTCACAAACATTACAAACAAGTTTGTACACTTGAAAATTGTCAGGCAGGTCTCTTGCACCTCCTGATCTCCAACCCCACTTGTGTACTTTATCCCCTTCCCTGACCCAACCCCCACAAACATAATTTCATTTACCTCTATTTCTATGGTACCCTAGCTCCTCACAGCCAGCCCTATCCACAGGCTCTGTCCTAATCCAGGCACGTGTAAAGATGTAGGCCTTGTGGGCAGGCAAACCTCAGTTCTATTTCAAATTTATCACATTCTAGGCATGCAACCTTGGGTAATTTACCTAACTTCTCTCTGTCTTTACATCTGTAAAGTAGATGTGATAATACCTATCTCATAGCTACCTTATAGAGAAATCTCCTGGCTTCTCACTTCCCTAGCATGTGTACTCTTAGTTCTGGAACTAATTTCTGAACCCCTTCCATTAAATCTTGGAATATCATCTTCAGAAGGAAAGTGGAATCCCTCCTGTTCCTCAACTTTGCCCTCACACGGGTCTTCTCTGATCTCTAATATTACTACAGAAATCTCTCCCCTCCCCTCCTGCTCCCAAATGTTACAGACTCTACTCTCTCTGCCCTAGCCAGCTCTCCCACCTACTTCTGCCTTGGAACTGGATCTAGATCTTCCCTGTAAGAACCATCACCAAGCCTGCCCCTTGCTCTGCTGTTGTCTTTAATTTTGCAAGGCTCTGCTCACCTAACATCCTGGAGCTCCTGCTGACTTTGCCACTGCCCCTTACAGTGCCTTCCTGTCCTGACAGTCATTCCTTTTCCTCTGCTGCGTGATGACATGTAGGTGAGGATGGTGAAGATGGTGCACCCCACCCAGAGCCACAAGAAGCTATGTATACTTCCTGCCAAAGCTCCTGTGGGGAGTTGGCTTCAGAGCTCACAAGTACTTCCTTCTCAGCATCCTCAGTGATGGTGGCTCTTCATGTACCAAGGAGTGAAGTGCCAAAGTCAGAAAACTAGGCAGTGTTGTGCTGTAATAGAGAAAAGAGGGGCCTAGAGTCAGAAGGACTCTCGTCTAGCCCATCTCTTCTTCATTGAAGATTCTGAGGATTCCTCTGGCTTCTCATTGATAAAAATATGGTTTGCTCTCCTCAGAGCACTGTCAATGGGGATCACATAAAATGAGATGGTACAAAAATGAGATGAAATCAAATCAAATAAAAATGATCATTACCATTAACATCTCAAGAACTCTCTCCTGGGATTTCCAGGCGTTAAACCCTGTGAGAGTTGAAACAGCTGCCATCATATTCAACAATGTATCCCTACAGCCTTAGCCTTATGATTGAAATGGAGCAAGGCTTAACTTTCCATAAACACCTGCAGATTCATCAATGAGTTGGGTTCTCTCTTTCCAAGGAAGAGGTAACATATGAACATGTCTAGACTTTTCTTTCAGCAGCTGTGAAATGGCGCCCTGTTCACTGCATGGGTTGGGGAAGGTGTAAGCCTTTGTTTTTAATAAAAATTGAGACCCAACCATAAAGAAATGATACTAGCTTTCTTTGTCTCAAAAATCAGGTATGAAAGGCAATTCCAAACCAAGAATTCATAACTGAAGTGTAATAGACTCTGTGGCAAGCTCAAATAGTATAATCTCAAGATACATTGTACACATAAACTGCTTTCTTAAATGGCAAAAAATTCAATACATATCCTAAGAATTAAGAAAGTAAGGGAGGGGTGGATTGGGAGGGATGGGTGAAAATGTTGGAAGGGGCGACATTGATCAAGACACATTTTTTTTTCATGAACTATGTTGTTGAATGCAGCTCCTTTGTGCAATGAAAGATAATTTTTAAAAACATCAAAAAAAAGAATTCAAAAGATATTCTAAATAATAGCAACATTACCAGAAAAAAACAAGACTTTGAAAAGAATAATCCACAATAGGTAGTGAAAAGAATAATCTACAATAGGTAGATAAGTTCTTAAACATTTGAATAAAAATAAATAAATAAAGCTTGTGTCTTTTTAGGCTCATAGGAATTTAAAAAACTAAAGTTTAAGGGATAGTAGGAGAAAAACAAAGGAGGGAGTAATGATGCTCAACAAGGAAATGTGCTCATTAATCATGTAACTGTAACCCCTCTGTACAGCATCTTCACAATAAAATAAAAAATAAATAAATAGAAGTTCACTGGAATCTCAACCTAGGGTGAGCAGAGCTGAGCTGAGCCACTGGAAAAGGGCCTCCTTGTCACGAAGGGACAGACCCAGGAAGAAACAGCCCCAACTGTGATGGGAAAGACCTACTAATTAGACAAATGCAGCCATGCATGGGGTCAGGAGGTGAAACAGACCATAGGAGGTGGGGCTAGGCTGGGTTGAATGTTGGATGAATCAAGCCTTCCCATAGGGTGGAGACATCCTGTCCAAAATACAAGCTCCATTAAATCCCCTATAAAAGGTTCTCTTCCCACTACCTGATATTCCACACTGCTTAACAGCCACTTGTCTCATCCTGCTTGGACCTTCGGTAAGTCCCTTCTTGAACTCTTGTTCTCTTATGCTCAGGGTCTTGGTGATCTGAGTCCATAAAACCAGGGTCATCAGTTATTAGCCATGAGTGCTGTCTGTTGGCAGAAAGTGCTCTGTTGGATCGGGCCTCCGGAAATCTGGGAGCCAGAGCATGTTGGGAAATGATGCTCTTATGAAGCAACCCAGCTTTCTTCTCCTCCCTGAGGCTGGCCTGGCAGAAGCTCCTATCACTGGGAGACTGTGTGGGCAGCAGCAACAGAGCCATCCACATAACCTTTTTGGATCAGGGGAAAAAAAAGATTCTGGAAGGTTCTTTGTAAGTGCTGAGAGTCTGGGGGGGGGGTCAACATCAAATTTACTTCTGCCAATCTAGACAATGAGCTCATGTTGTCTCATGGAAGAAGGGGCTTAATTGAACCCCTTCCCCACCCGAGAGGATATATAGGTAAAATAAGTTTGCAGATTTACTCCAAGAATCCGAAGTATTACTAAAAGTTCATTTTATTATCGTGTTTATAGGTCAGTGACTAAAGTCTATTACACAGTTAAGAAGTGTTTTTCATCTCTATTGAACAAGATTGAGTTCTGCACCCTGATGAGCACAGCTCAACTGGAGTCTGAATGTCCTCAGTCCTCTGACCACAATGATGTGCTTTATCTAGCATCCAAGTCTCCTTCTTTCCCTCATTTTCTTGTCTCTGCCCATGCTGTCCTTTCCCAGTACTCCTGCATTTTTTTTTTTTTATCTCCAAGGTCCCTGTCCTGGATTTCCAGCTTCTGGAAGCTCCTATGACCCTTTGTACTTGGATCATATCATCTCCTTCTTTTAGTCTCTCCAAGGTTTCTTCTGCTTATTGTAGCTCCTACTCTCTATACCTCTTGCCTATTCACCCAAGTTTTGCCTCAACCTAATCCTTTCCTGGCTATGGGAAATGCAAATTGTGAACCACCTCACAAGTCACCAGGACTCCAGGCTTGATACCACACCCCCTACTGTGCAAGCTGGACTTCCTCCTGTTCACAAGGATGAAGGTAGAGGTCAACACAGAGCAACTGGACTCTTTGAATTGAAAGTCCTCTTACCTAAGGAAGGCACCCAGTTCTCCACATTGCCACCATTGCCTAGTGGTGGCAATTCAGTCTCTTTCTGAAATACTCTTCTCATAGGAGGCAAAAGAGAACAAAAGTTTGTGCCTAGAATTCATACTAGGCCCCAGGCTAAGACAGAGCTTGACTCATGACTCATGTGTGTAGCTTTCTATTTTCAGGTGGTCTCAGCAGGACCTTAAACCCTACAACAGGCAAATGAACCTTGTCCCCAGCAAGCTTTTTTGTAAACCCATTACATTTAGGTTCAGAAGAGATGAGTTCTCGGATTTCTTAGTTCTCCAATGATGGCCTTGGGCAAATCTTCTAACAGGCTGAGCCTGTTTCCTTACCTATAAAAACGTAGAGATAATACAAATTATACGATGATGCATAGGAAAGTGCTTTGTGAGCAGTACAGTGAATTTACTTGTACACAAATTATATATGCATGTGTATAACAAAATCATAATGATATTTAATAGCTACCACCTGGCATAAGCCAGGAATTTGCTAAGTGTTTTTTAGAAATGAATTACCTCCTTAAGGCTTCACAGTAACTCTATGTTCTTTATTTATAACAAGTAAACTAAGGCAGGTTGGCTCAGCTCCCAGATGGCTGACACTTAAATGTTGACTCAGGAACTTATCTCTAATCTCTCTCTCTCTCTTTCTCTCCCCCTCCCTCCCCCCCATGTGTGTGTGTGTGTGTGTGTGTGTGTGTGTGTGTGTGTGTGTGACTCTTTTTCTCATACATGCATAGCACTGCAGAGGAAAGGATGAAGGCAGTCAGAGAGACTGAGAGCAGAAGTGAAGATGCAGAAAGACCTAACATGAATATGTGCTCTAGGAGACACTTGAGGCTCCAATGGAGCTATAATGGAGCTTTTCACCTTTTCCAGATTGGCTTCACAGATGCCTCAGTTACTGCGAAACATTAATGGAATCATTGAGGCCTTTGGGCGCTATGCCAGGACAGAGGGCGGCTGCACAGTGCTCACCAGAGGGGAGCTGAAGAAGCTCTTGGAGCATGAGTTTGCCAATGTCATAGTGGTATGATGTCGGTGGGGTGGGGGGAGGGGGGAGTGGGAAGGGGGGTATCAATAAAGAAAACTTGTTTGCCTGTAGGAACTCTGACTGGGGAACTGAAGCAAGCAGCAGCTAAAGCCAGGCTTGCTGGTACTGCTGGAGATCGTGGGTTGTGTGGGCAGAAAAAGAGAAAGGTTATGGGATTTTTGACAGATTCTGAGCCTTAGTGAAAGAACTGTGCTTCCAATTTGATTCTTAGCTTTACTTAATTCTAATTTCAAGACATGAGTTTTTTTTAAAAAAAAAAAAGACTCTAAAAGGGATCAAATAGAAACTTGTAAAGGTCTAGAATGAAAAAGCATTGCTGCTTTCTTAATCTTGACACAGCAACATTTCCCATGTGTGTCTGAAATTGAATTATTTATTGATCATTCGTCAGACGCATAGGTCTTGTCTTGCACAAAGCAGTGGCTCAAAAATATTTGCTCACTGATTACACCAAAAATGAGATTTCTGGAGCATAGCTGGGGAAAAGGAGTAGGGGGACAGGGTGCTCTGGGAGCCCCACTCAGCAAACCAGACTGAGTCTGGATGCTCTCTACTCGCTTTGCTTTGCATCTAAAGCAATCAGGACAAAAGTCCCCAGGGACAAGGATGCCCATCCTTGTTCAATTCTGCCTCTGCATGCTCAGCACAGCCTTACTGGACACTTACGTACTCCTGGGGAGAGCCTTAGAGCTCCAGTGAGAAGCGCTCTGAGTTCTCATGGGTCCAGGTTCCTGCTGTGCTTTTTTTGTGTGTGAGCAACTGCCACATAGACTACAGCCTCAGCTGCAAAGGAAATGCACTCAGGAAAACCCAAACATTAACCCAGGAGCCCAGACAGTTGCATTATGAACACATTTATTTCTTCAATGCACTTTTATCCAATTATTCTGTAGGCCAGACATAGAGGATAGAATAACACAAAGGGTGCTTCCTACTCCTGGAATGGAGTGTTACAGCTGCTACTGTGGTAGGTATGCAGGCTGTAGTGGGATTTGGGGGACAGGCTCCTGGTCTGCAGCGGGTAGAGCTGTTTCAAGGAGGGGTCCTCCTCAGGGGAGGTATGCTAACTCAGCCTCATCCTCTCCCCAGAAACCCCATGACCCCGCCACGGTGGATGAAGTCCTGCGCCTGCTGGATGAAGATCACACAGGGACTGTAGACTTCAAGGAATTCCTAGTCTTGGTGTTTAAAGTTGCCCAAGCCTGTTTTAAGACACTGAGTGAGGGTCCTGGAGGTGCTTGCAGATCTCAAGCACCTGGAAGCTACTACTCTGGGTCCTCAAAAGAGCTTCAGGAAAGTCAGAGGATCAGCACTGAAGTAGGGAGGGATGAGAGACAGCAGCCACACCAGGGGAGCAGCCATGAACAGATCGAACAGGCTTCCAGAAGGCAGACCAGGCCTGACACCCAGTACCAGGGTCGGGATAGGAGCCAGGACAGGAAAGCTGAGTTCCAGAGACAGGAGAGGGTAAGCCAGCAGACACAAGTTACGGGGCATGTGGAGCAGAGCCGGAGAACAGGAGACGATAAGCGTCATCAAGACCGAGAGGGGAGGACAGAAAGGCAGTCACGCTTTGGAGAACAGACAAATGAGACTACAGCTACAACTGCAATTCAAACCCAGAGAGGTACATCCCAGACTCTGGAGCAGGACAGGCGCTATCACACAGGAAGGACCAACATCCAAACTCAGGAGTCCATTTATGGCCAGACCAGAGGGAATGAGACCCATGGTCAAAACAGAAGTCAAACCAGCCAGGCTGTGGCAGGAGGACACAGCCAGTCACAGGCCGGGCCCCAGACTCAGACACACACTCAGACCATAGAGCAGAGACAGACAGGAAACAGTGGCATCCAAACCCAGGAGTCCATCAACTGTCAGACCAGTGGAACTGAGACCCATGGTCAAGACTGGAGCCAGACCAGTCAAGTTGTGACAGGAGGACACATCCCAACACAGACAGGGTCACAGATTCAGACACACACCCAGATCACGGAGCAGGACAGGGGTTGTCAGACAGGAAACACAAATAACCAGACCCAGGGGTTCACCTGTGGCCAGGCCAGAGGAACTGAGACTCATGGTCGAGACTGGAGCCAGACCAGCCAAGTTGTGACTGGAGGACACCTCCCAACACAGTCAGGGTCATATACTTGGACACACACTCAAACAGCAGAACAGAGCAGGAACCATCAGTCAGGAAGCACAGGCATCCAAACACAAGCGTCCACCTGTAGCCAGACCAGAGGAACTGAGAGCCATGGTCAACAGTGGAGCCAGACTCTGACAGGACACAATCAGACACAAACTGGGCCACATACTCAGACACATACCCAGACTATGGATCCTGGTAGGAATCATCAGACAGAAAGTACCAGCTTTCAGACACAGGAGTCCACACGTGGCCCAACCCAGGGGAGAGAGATTCATAGTCAAGAGATGAGCCAGACCAGCCAGGCTAGGACAGGAGGACACATCCAGACCCAAGCAGGATCATACACCCAGACTGTGGAGCAGGGCTGGAGCCAGAGTACAAGCCAGAGTGCAGGGGCTAGAGGACAAGGACAGACCCAGATGCACACTGGTAGCAGTCAAACACAGATAACAGTGGGCAACTATAACACAGGAAAGCCAGAACCAGTGAGTCAGGTCCAGACCGGGACAAGATCTGAGACAGGAAGACAGGACTGGAACAGCACTCATCCCTGTAGGACAGAAAGACAGGATGAGAGAGACACCGAGTTTAGCAGGGGACCAGGAGGTCAGGCCCAGACTGGAACAAGTTCTGAGACAGGACGACAGGACTGGAACAGCACTCGTGTCAGCGGGACAGGAAGACAGGATGAGGGAGACACAGAGTTTAGCGGGGAGTGGGTTGATGACCACACAAGGGAGATAGTGATCCGAAGTCAGGACCAGGGCAGGGGACACTCTGAGCATCCTTCAGCATAGGGTCAGGGTTTAGCCTACTCAGAAGTAAAGGGAAATATCACAATCAAGGGTCTGTATTCCTCCTTCAAAAGCAGCAAGCCATGACTGTCTTTAGTTCCCACACTCAGGACTAGAAGACAACGGAAGAAGGTTGACTTTTCATGCCCTGGCCACTCCATTGGCACATTCTCGGACATCAGCCCTTAACCTGAGTGCTTTCCTTTTAGTTCTTTTTCTGCAATCATTTCTGTGAGGTGCTTTCTATTCTAAACTCTTCTGTCTTACCTGCTTTGCTGTGCAGACCCCATCAGAAACAGGAAGACATGGAGAAAGCCATACCTTTGGGCTGGATTCTCCTCAGCTTGTAGGAGTTTTCCTCAGGGCTATTTTATCTCTATTTTATCTCCATCTGTCTACTGCCCCATCCATCCAAGTGTATCAATAAAACCTTTCTAAGCAGCTGACCTCAGTGTCCCCTTCAGTTACCTCTGCTGATATGACAGGCTACAAATTATAGGGCTATGGTGATGATGAACTAATTATACTCCCATCCTCTGAGGAGAATCGAGCTGAGAACTAACTTATTGTAGGAGATTCTGAGAGTTAGAAAGGTCAAAAGGAGGTGTCACACCTTATATTTAGCAGTGGTAAATCAATCAGGAATGCTTCTCCAAAAAGGGACTTTCTGTGATGGCTTTTAAGAGATTTCAAGAGGTAAATTTACTCTCAGTCTTTTACTACTGGAAGATGTTTTCTGGAGTAGCTGATTTAAAGTGACTGATAACTTCAGTAACTAGGGGCTGGGCTGAGAAAGGGAAGAAAACATTCATTATTGAGCACTGAGGCAGGAGCCAGATCCCTGAGATTCCTGCACCGCTTCCTCCTCTGCGTTAGCTGTGACTTCTCATAATGTTCCACCCACTGGAGATAAATGAACAATAGGATAGAAACTCTCAGCTCTGGTTTACTCTAAGAATCATTAGGGAAATGGCTTTAGGAATTAAGGGTTAAACCTAATCTTTGAGAGGCTGATTCCTAAGATTGGGAGTGAAAAACTTTACATATTTTTAAGAACTTAGGGGAATGTGTAATTTTGATAGTACAAAAGACAAGATACTCTGAAGGGTCTCTCTTACTAAAATAACCAGGTCTTGGATAAAATGTATTTTTTGTCAGTTTATGGGATATAAGAGGAAACTCCAAAGACAGGACAAAATGTGGAATGAAGACAACATCTGGAAGACAAGAATCCCTCCTCCCTTCTTCCAAATCCCAGAAGGAATGTAGCTCTTCCAGAAACTTCATTTTAAATTTCTGGCCTCCAGGGCTGTAAGAGAACACATTTTTGTGGTTTTAAGCCATCAAATTTGTGGTAATTTTTTACAGCAACCATTAAAATCTAACACACAAAATAAAAGCCCAGAGCTGAAGGCAAAGGTAAAGCTGTCCTTTGAACATAAATTGATTTTATATCCATCCAAACCTGCCTTTGAGTACAAAATCCAAAGACTAACAGCAAAGAACTTGCAAGAATTCAAGAAATATAACTGCCATAATCTCTTCCTTGGGAATCCATTAGAGTTCTAGGAAATTCCAGTCTTATTTAGGATGTATAGAGAATAAATAAAGAGGGGATATAAGGTACACAGTACATAAACATGAAACATTATAAGAAAAACATGAGCTTTCCTCAACACAAAAAGATATTCCAGATGAAAGCAGATAAAACAGACAACACAGAAAATATTATTTAGGAATAGGACATATGTTTGCATTAACAAGATATGGAAGACTATGTTAGATTGGTAAAGTAGGATGCCATTTATGATGGTGAGGCTTACCTCACTATTAAAAGAGCAGGATTTGGAGCTGGGAAGGTGGCTCAGTGGTAGAGTGCTTGCCTTGTATGCATGAGGCCCTGGGTTTGATTCCTCAGCACCAAATAAGCAGAAAAAGCTGGAAGTGACACTGTGGCTCAAGTGGTAGAGTGCTAGCCTTGAGCTGAAGAGCTGAGGGATAGCACCCAGGCCCAGAGTTCAGGCTCCACAACTGACAAAAAAAAAGAGCAGAACTTTGTATTAGAGCTAAACAATTATGTTCTTTTTTTCAACAGACATCCAAATCAGTGAGAGAGAAATTTAAGTGGACATAAGTTAACATATATTAATATATATTAACTTTAATACATTTATTAGGAAAATTCAGATGAAAACAAAATTTAAAAAACAGAAGTCATAGCCTTGATCCCAGATTATGAACTTATTCAATAAGGTCAAAAAAGGACATTTTACAATGTAAAGTCCATAATATTGCAATGAGGAAGTAACCACTTTTTATTATCTATATATTCAGTGACAGTCAACTATTCAATTCTGACAAACAGAAACTATAGAATATGGGAGGCTCTACTTAAATAAAACCACACAAATTTTAGAAAATGATGGTAACCAGACATAAGGATTAATTGAAAAGCTAGAAAATACCTAAAAATAAAAATAATATGTAAGGAACAATTAATAACATTATAAGGGGAAATTAATAACTAAAATCAGAAATATAGTCAAAAAATAATTTTAAAAAACTTCTGTGTTGTGAGAGGAAAACCAACAAGGCAGAAACTATTAACCAACCTATGCCTCATATCCACAGTTCTGAAGCTTACCTAGAAAGTGCTCTACTACTTGAGGCCCCACTCCTTTATGCTTGTAATTTGTTTTTCAGATAGGGTCTCATACTAACTTTGCTGTTCTCAAACTACAGTGCTCCTACCCCCTCCCGCAGTTGGACTTACAAATGTGCACCACCACACACACTAACCAACCTAATTTCTTTTAAAAGGTGAAAAAGGCTGGGAGTGAAAAGCACAAATATACAAAATGAGAAATCACAATGGGCAAAACATATAAGCAGGTAGCTTTCAGAATACAAACAATCCTTTAAGATGCTATAGCCTGTTTGTAATACTAGAAACACAAAGTACAAACTATATGCTGAGATACCATTTCTCATCATCAGCAAGACAACGAAATGAACATTTGAGAAAGAGGCTGTGGAGAAGGCACTCACATTTTCTGGTAGAAATGTAAAATGATACAGCCTTAGCCAAGGTGAGTTTGGCAAAATTCCTCAGTATTTCGAGTACCCACGGTATTCTGCCTCTGTAGCTAAAGTCAGGCCTGGCAGATAGCAGCATCCAATAACTACTTGTTGAAGGGATTAAATGATCTATCACTAGATAGATATTAATTAATATAATCCCTAAATTATATATAATATAATAATATATATTAATTAATATAATCCCTAGATAGATATGACTATGTAAAGTTAGATATAATCAACTTGTATCAAATTTTTAAAAATGGAGTTTCTTTGAGTTGTCAAATGTCAAGCCCTTAAAGATGGACTTGATGGGATTAAACCTCTGTCTTCTGGAAGCAAACTTGATAGTATCTCACACCTTGTAGAGAAGTAAGGACACCAGAGAGTGTGAAGAAGACACTAATTCTCAGGATCCACATTGCCAAGGAGTTTTGAGGAAGACGGAGGCTATGAGAAACCGGCTGTTTTGATGTTTATGCTTCTTCTTGTAAACTGGGAGGCTGGACTCACGAATGCTAGTCCTAGCCGCTAGCCTTGGCAGGTATGAGATGACTGGATCTTCTCTCACAGTGACTCAGAACAAGAAGCATGGTATCTTCCCTAAATCTCTGGATCCACCACAATCAGGTTATTCCATCCCAAGACATGCTCCTTCCTTCTCCTTTTTAGACTTGCTGGGCCTTCTTGGGCCTTAAGGTTTCTACAGAGATAGTTCTTTCAAGCAATGTACATGTTATTTTAGAGCCAGAAGGGAATTTTTAAAACATAATTTTTATTATTGTTATTAAGGTGTTATACAGAGGAGTTACTGTTTGGGTTTTTTTTTTAAATACAGAGACTTAATGGGAATGGAAGGCTTGTTCATAGTCCTTGAGCTAGACTCTTCTTTTCTTGAAGAATGGAAGTCTCATCCTCTCACATCATACCAAACATAGTAAACTGCAACTATACCCCTATACATTGAAATATAATTTTTGTTAAGAACATTAAAAGAAGTCTTTTATAATTTTGTTTTAAATTATTTGGATGTAAGTAGTATATCTGCTTGATTTTTAGCTTTGACTTCTTTGCAATTACAATTCACTTTCTTGACACAGACAATTTGTCTTCAAAGTTTCTTAACAAAAAAATTTTCATTAACACTAAATTTAGCAATGCGTGAGATCTATGAAGTTTTATTTCTAAATACTTAAACATTTATATATTTCCATTTTGCAATTTAAAATATTTGGGGTACCTACAGAGAGATGTCCATCTACTATTTTTGTCTCATCTGTTTTTGTTGGCCTTTGTAAAGCTCATAAACTCCAGTCACATGGGCCAGGGTGTAGAAAAGTAGACTTGTCCTCAGGGATACTCAGGCTGAGGTATACCAGATTAGGTAGACTGTACTTCTGCCCCCTGGTGGCAGTAAAACCTAGTTCATTTAAAGAATTATCAGAAAGGAGCCCACTTCCTCCAAAATGGGAAGATGCTATGAATGGGGTAGATTCCATAGTGGGATTCCCTGCACAGCAACACCCAGAGGAAATAGCCCTGAAAGGTTAATAGTGATCCATGATTAGGTTTCTCCAAGGTTGTTTTTGTGTTTAGGTACACCTTCACCAAGCTGTGCCCACTGGCAAATGGCTCCCTCTCTGTATTATCTACACCAGTTTCCAGGGCCTTGATGTCACTGCATGGAAATAGCCCTGTATGTACTTTACTATCTAACTGAAAAAGTACAGAGGAAGGTGTAAATACCTCATGGTTTTTCCCTTTATAAGGCAGATAGCTGCTTCTCTTAGGGGTCCTAAAACCAAAGCTATGATCTACTTTTGTATTGGTTGTTCATAGAAACACTGTGGATTGATCTCCAAGTGTTCTATGAAGACTTGCTGTGTGTGGCACATCCTCAGCTTCCCCACTCCCTTTTTTGT